GCACCCAGAACTTACAGGAGCGGCGGCCGATGCCAAAGCCACGAAGCTCATTACCGACATGTTCGTCAGCCTGCGAGGAGCCCTCGCCTATGCCCTTCTTACCCAAATCTGGCTCATGGTATACGTGGTCTCTCTTCAGAAAATTCAAGAGCCCACCAATCTGCAAGTCAGACGTTTGAATGCTGTGACGCGAAAGCTGATCAGCAGCCCGAAACGTATCACCTTCCCTCGGATGAAGCCGACGAATGAAGTTGACATCCATAGCGATTCGGGGTATCGGAAGCTTACCGGGGAGGAGGATGACGAGACCAAGGGCTACGGCATACGCGGGGCCAATGCACTGCGGCGAGGAAACTCGCCTCAAGGCAAGTCCGTCGTTCACCTCTGTGACGGACTATGCAAATCACACCGATTACAGGTGAGGTCCAGTTATGCTGCGGAGGCACTTGCAGCCGCACATAACGTTGATGAGTGTTACCCTGCGCTCGTTACTCTCCACGAGCTTAAGGCAGGAGCTTTGACTCCACGACAACTACGAGACATGCGTGAAGTTGGAGGCCTAGCTGTCAAAGTCTCTCTTACCATAGACGCCGAGTCCGTCTACAAATCTTTATCGAGCAGGGATCTCAAATACCTACAGAACGGACTCTGCTTGGACATATCAGCTGGATACGTGAGCTCATGGATATAGGTATAGTACATAATGTGCAATGGTGTGATACTAGGGATATGACCGCAGATGGGCATACAAAGGGAAGCATCGATCGGGAGCTGCTTCTGGAAGTGATGTCAGGCACTCAGTCATTTAAGTATGACGTGAAGCAATTTGTTCCCTTTCGGGGTCCCGAGGACAGAGACAAACCTAAGTCTAATCAATTTTAGTATGTCCTTGTTGCCCTCGCGGTCCAATTTGCCAGCACGGGCGCCTACTATAAAGGCGCCCCTCTAGTTGCCCGGAAACGAGCCTTATATTTCACGCCTGGCAACGAGCCGGCTTCGTACAACTCAGGCTCTTTGCCTTAATACACATTTGCTTGGTGAGGTATGGCCTGTTTGGCTTACCTCTAACTGAGCCGATAGCCCTTCATTGTTTGAAGGGGCTGTCTTGTATTTGCGTGAAATACTTTGCGAGGAAACTCGCCTTGCAGTCGGGTGTTAGGCCAGACTGTACGCACTTTTTTCCTTTTTGCAAACAGTCGTGCGCGCGACCTTTGCGTGCGACTATGCTCTCCGTCTCCTCCCTTCCCGACTTTAAGGGTAGGTCTTTGGGAGATGTTATAGTATCGGGAGCATAGCTCGCGCGCGCCGTTGCCTTTGGCCCAAGGCACGCGCGCCCTATTTGCCCGGACACCGCGAGTGTTCGCTATGTGCTGGAAAGATCACTACATCGATCTTATCCTATCTTATCCGTCCACCCCTCATACTGTACCTTCACAGCAGAGCGATGGGCGCTATTTGCCATTTATTTGAGCTACCAGGCTCACTTTCGACTTGGTGTTCCTCCGTCCTCCTCCTGCGCATCCGCCCTCCTCTGGTGCCTCTCCCCGCGTCCCCCGCTCCCCTCGCTCTGCCTGTGTGGCCTCTCCTGTCGAGCTCCCAGGGCGCTGCAGCAGCGGCCGCCGCTCTGGTGTGCTCCTGCGCGGTCCAGCGGAGAGGTGCCCCACGGGGATCCACGCGAGGTGGGCATCCTTTGCCCTGGCTGCTGCCGTAGGTCCAGCTGTCGCCCCTGTTCAGTGTCCCCGCCCAGCGGGGATGTGGCTTGCGCAGGCCCGCGCGATAGCTCCCGCACCGTGGGTGCTGCCCCGCGCGCCGTCGTGCCCACTGTGCCGTGCCCGGCGGCGCGCCGAAAGACGTGCAGTGCCCGGCCAGAGCGGCTCCAGGACGGGGCCCAGAAATCGGTGGTTTTGTTGTCCTCGTTCACACCCGTCTTCTATGTCCCCTCCTCTCCTCTCCTATCCTCTATCCTCCCCCTCTTTTTTCCCCTTCTGCATTGCTTCGAGTGGGCCCCTTGGGTCGTGCAACGCCGGGGCGTCCTTGGAAATTCCCTTGCTGCGAGCCATCGCGCCGCTTTAGTAACACCACTCTGTTTGGACGGGCCCGTATATGTTGTCACGTGTTGCAGGTGGTCCGGGTACGCCTCTGGGACATCTCTGCCAGCGATAAGGGTCTTATGCGCATTGCAAGAGAGCGCTCCTGGTATCCAGAAGGCACAGACGGCAAGCCTCGCGCCTCCCGCGTGCCTTGCCTTGCAGTGCAGTGTCGTGCCCGCGTGCCGTGTTGTGCCTGCGTTTCACGATGCGAAGACCGTGCCCCCTCTGCGTGCCGTGCCCGTGCCGTGCCCGCGTGCCGTGCCGTTTTCGCGTGCCGTGCCGTCCCCTCGCCCTAGTTGCCGTGCCCCGTCATGCGAGAGGTGTGCCGCCCGCGTGGCGTGCCGTTGCCGTGCCGTGCCGTGGTGGCGTGCCCGCGTGCCGTGCCGTGCCCGCGGTCTCAGAACACTAGACCCGTGTGTTGGGAGTGCCGTGCCGTGCCGTGCCGTGCCGTGCCGTCGTGCCGTGTGCCGTGCGGTGCCCGCGTCCTGTGCCGTGCGCGGGCAATGCGATGTTGATTCGCCAGAGTGTCGTCGCGTGCAGCGTTGATGCCGAGGGTGTCTATGTGCCGGTGCAGGGGTGGGCCTGAGCGGCGTTGTGGCGGCTTCGTGGGCCGTTTTCGTTTTTCGGTATCGTTCTGCAGCAGGGGCGAGCTCGAGACAAAGCGAGGGACAACGGAAACGAAGCGAGAACGAAAAACACCGTTCAGGTCCAGCCCTGTGCCGGTGCTAAGGGGCCACATGCGAACCATGCCCCTACCCCCACGATTTCTCAGGGGAGGGTGTGGTTCACTTCGCTCGGGAGCTCCCGAGCGAAGTGAACCCCACCCTCCCCCTCAGAAATCGTGATGGGGAGGGGTAGGGTTCGCATGTGGCCCCCTAGGTTTACGTCGGGCCTGTCCCCCTACAGAGGGATTTTCGACGAAAGAATAATCCCAAAATAGTCCCAAAATAGTCTGGGGACTATCTTTCGAGTATTTTTTGACCTTCTTGGGGCATTTGTGGGGTATTTTCTATTTTTCGTCTGTCATTGCGAATGCGACTGCGACTGCGACTGTCATTGCGACTGCGACTGCGACTGCGAGAACCGCAGAATTCTACAACTGGATTCTCACCTGCATCTTCAGGGGAATGCTTCCAGATATGCTCACACAAGTCGCTGTGAGGTTGCTTTGCCGGGATAACTTTTCTCTTTCGTTGACAGTTCCCCCTGTAGGGGGAAGCACCCGAGGGAACCCCTCGCTGATGCCCAACGAGGCCCAGCCTCGCCTCTGGACACCGCAAGGCCGCTTCGTGTCGTGCCGACTTGAGCGTTGGTCCCTGCTCCTGACACCGAGGGGGTCGTTCGACCTGGAAGGATCGGCTGCCAGGGCTTCCCCCTGTAGTTCCCCCTGTAGGCGCTCGACCTGACCCTGGGTGCACCTGGTGCAGGCGCCCCGTCGGGCCCCGGGAAGCGCGGGGTCGGCGCGCACGCCGCGCGCGGGGCCGAGGCCCCCGCGCGCCTCCCTGCGCGGGGCGGCCTCCGGGGGCCGACGGTGCGCGCCGGCGCGCTCGGTGTGTCTGTGGGGAAAAAAATCACAAGCACACGCTGTGGGAAAAATCTGTTTTTTTTTGTGTGTGTGTGTGTGATTGTGTGTGTTTTTTTCCCACAGGGTGTGTTTTTTCCCACGAGCGTGTGTGTTTTTTCCCACAGTGTGTGTTTTTTTTTCCCCCAGACTTTTTTTTTTTTGTGTGTGTGTTTTTTCACACAGTGTCAGGCGGGTGTTGGCGGAATGGCTTCTGGCAGAGGAGGAAGAGGTACCCATACCTCTACCCTCCCCTCGTTTTTTCTATCTCTCTCTCTCTCTCTCTTTTTGGGGCCTCCTGGGCGGCCCTCGTCGCCACCGCTGGATTCGCCTCGAAGTCCTGGTCAGGGCGCACCCCGGGAGAGGTCTGGGGAGCAGCGGTGTTGGTACCTTGTGGTCTCCCCGGGATGGCTTCTGGGGTGGTTTGCATTCTGCCACCGCTGGGTCGGGATCAGGAGGAGGGAGGAAGGACTGGCCTGCGGCGGAGACGGCGGCAACAATCATCAACACCAACCGCAAACACACAATCCGAGCAGGACGATATGCCGCGTCGGCTAATACGATACGATACGGACATTATGTTCGACCCACGCCGCCACCGCGCCTGGGTTCCGGGCCAGAGTCCTGTCGGGGCTTTTGTTGGATGTTCCTTTGTCTGGACACATTGCGACGAACAACAAAGCATGGCCGGCACTGGAGGCGAAATCCCTGGCATCCGTCAATCTAGGGACGGTGCGGGAAATTGGTCGTAACAACAATTTATGCCAGAGCTGGTACTCAAACTCCGCCAACTTGACGTTCTGAGTCCCTCCCCTTCTCTTTCCCTTCCTCCTCGTGCAGACATTTCTCGGAGCTCTGGCGCCACCGCTTGGCTCTCGCAGGGCCGTCCCCTGGGACGGCTGACCGGCGCCTCGCCTCGCCTCGCCTCGCCTCGCCTCGCCTCGCCTCGCCTCGCCTCGCCTCGCCTTCGAGGCTTCCTCGAGACCTCTTGGGACATCCAGTTCGCCTCTTGGGCGCCTCTTGGAGTTTTCTTGGGGGGTCTCTTGGGCGTTCTCTTGAGGGCCTCTTGATGATCTCGGGGGCCCATCCTGGCACGAGGGCTCCCACGGCCAATTTGGGGTCCCCCCTCCTGGGCAGACAACCCTGACAAGCCACGAGGTTTTTCAGCCACGCTGCGATCCCCAGGAGATCCAGCAATTGGGGCGCTAGGCCCCTGAACAACTAGACACAACGCTCAACACAGGGAACTCAAAGGAACCTGAGGACACTCAACTCAGTGTCCCAGGGGACGTTGGCGGAAACAGCTTTTAATAGAGTTCGAACAAGTGCTGGCAGCGTTTTCAACATAGGAGACTGCAGCGCTGCTGCAGCACGCGGCGGCTGCGCAGTTGAAGAAGGCGCATGCGAGTGGCCAGGTCAACACCACCGAGACGACGACCCTCACGTGCTACCCGGACCGGGCAACTGCCACTTGTGGCGCGAGTGGCAAGTGTTTCCTTGACACCGCAGGTTGTAGCCCGTCCGGCGGCGGGACGTGCTGCATGGCTGCGGGCACACATGGACCGAAGCAGTGTCGCTTCTGCAACTGCTTCGGGACGGACTACTGCGCCAATTTCCCTTCTCCGACGCCATCGCCGCCATCGCCGAGTCCGACGCCGACACCGCCGACGACGAACTGCCCCCAGCCAGGGCCTCTAGTCTACGGCGATAAGTGCGAGTACGCTCCGAACGGTTACTGGTATGGATGCTGCCACGGCGGGCTTGTCTGCACGCAGCCATCCACTGGGCTTGGAGGGTACCCCACGTGTCAGCACGCGCCGACTCCAGCGCCGACACCGCCGACGACGAACTGCCCCCAGCCAGGGCCTCTAGTCTACGGCGATAGGTGCGAGTACGCTCCGAACGGGTATTGGTATGGATGCTGCCACAGCGGGCTTGTCTGCACGCAGCCATCCACTGGGCTTGGAGGGTACCCCACGTGCCAGCACGCGCCGACTCCAGCGCCGACACCGCCGACGACGAACTGCCCCCAGCCGGGGGCCAGCGCCTCCGGGGATTACTGCGAGTACGGCCCGAACGGGTATTGGTACGGCTGCTGCCAGCTTGGCCTCGTTTGCGAGAAGTCCTCCCCTGGGGCTGGAGGATACCCCACCTGCCAGCAGCCCACCGCCACAATCGGCGGCCGCTGAGATAGCGATCGGTGGGGCGTAGGGCTTTGCCCGTGGGAGGTCGTGCGGCCGGCGATCGCTGCCGCGTCGTCTCCCCCGGCCCGACTGCACGGGGGGTGCGCTGGAGGTCGGGCAGCCCCTGCACGCATTACAGCGAGCTCTGCCTGGCGATTTATTAGGCCACCCCAGGCAGCCCTTGGAGGCTATGGGGCGAGGGAGCACGCCAAGCGGGCAGATCGACCCGGGGTCCTGGAGCAGGAAGTTTGGAGTTTGCCCGTTTGTCTGGGAGGAGCGAGCTTGGAATTCCAGAGACGGTTGAAGATGTGTTGGGGTTGGCGCACTGGGCGCCTCCAAAGGGAACTGGTGCCCAGGTTGCCCCCCACAGTGCGAGCTGGTTTGGCATAGCCAGCATGAAAATGACGACTCCATCTCGGTTGTCCTGCCACGCACGCAAGTCATCGTTATCATGCCGTGTGGACCATTACCTCGGCCATCTCGCATGTCTTGGGGCGTTTGGAGGCTCTCTGGCGATGTGGGGGCTCTCTTGAGGCCCACTGGAGCCTTCGATCAGACTGCCGGTCCCCGCTGGAGCCCTAAACAATGCCTCAGGGGGGGAACTCGTATGGCGCAATCTGGCCGCTCTTTGGGGAGCCGTTGGGACCGTCCACGCGCCGATGAAGTCAACACCAACGAGTTCAAGTTTTCTATTTAGATCAGCGAGCTAACATCCAGCTGGACCCTCCACCATTTTGTATCGAGTATTTTCAGATTAGCACACTGGGTGCAACAGTCTGGGTCGCCCTGGCTTGTCTGAGAGAGCAGTGAGAAGTGAAAAGCTTTGGGGCCGTGATCAGCAGCAACATTTTGGATGAACACTGCATGATGTAAGTTGTGTAAGTTGTCGGCACGACCTCAGCAGTCTCACCAAGATCAGTTGTAGTTTGAATGCCAAGCTCAGTATTGGGTTTCAGAACCAATCTTATAAAACGGACGCAGTCAAATTCAGCGTGCATGCAATGTGCCACAAGACCGCGGATCGAATGCGATCTCAAAGCAGGGGATCTCTGATTCCCAGATTGTCAGTTTGGCACTACAGTTATTATGAACGACAATGCGAACGAGGAGATCGTGTATCGTTTGAGAACGGCTTGGACGACATGCCATTCATGCGCACAAGGTCACGTTGGCTTTGCTTCAAAACGGTGATCCCAACTTCGCATCTCATTGTTTTCGTGACGACTCTATGGCTGGTAAACATGGAACAGCCGCGATGGTCCAGGATTTCAGCTAAACGGAGTGACAGGGCGCGGTCATCTGACCAGATTCAGACATCGCGAGTGAGGCCATTGAGAAGTACACTTGGTCTTTTATCGATCTGAAAACGGCCTACGCCAGTTCGTCCAATTCGTAGACCGACCATCTTGACACGAATCCGCTTCCATTCGATTTGTTTGTGGCGGGATCTTTCTCAAGTTCTGTCGGTTTTCACCTGATGTTTTCGGGGGTCTCGCTTGGCCTTCGCTCGAAGGTCAGCGCGCCTCGCGCACCTGTCCGCCGTGACGGTGCCGCCTCCTGGGGCGAGGACAGGTAGTTGCGCGTTGAGCGTTGCGCGTTGGAATTTGTATGGGCCTCCCTTGGGCGGGTCTTGGGGCCACCCTGAGGCTTCAGAGGCCAATCGGAAGCGATGCAGCGATAAAGGCAAGCTCACTGAACACCCATAGATTTTGGACATGGGATGACCTCGTGGGAGTAGCTTTTGGAAGCTCTGGCCAACTGGTGTGTCGTGGTTTTCGAGGAGCTTCTTGTAGGCGCGAAGTCAGAACAGCGCGATTGTCCAATGTTGTGCGGCGCGGCCTTCGTGGTGTTAGAGTTGGCGCCGATCTCACGGCGACGTCACCCGGCTGTAGGGGAAGGGTGAACACTCCCCCCAAGTGGGAAGAGGGGCATGTAATCTTTGCTAAACTGAACGCGCCCAGAGGGTCGGTGTAATTGAATCTTGTTAAGGCGTTACGGCCCGTGCCGCCGACCCAGAAGGACGGCGACGACGACCACGACGACGACCACGACGACAACGACAACGACGAGCTGATGACGCTGCCACAGGCTCGGGACATGGGGCTGGCGGTGGAGGAGGGAGGAGGAGGAGGCGGAGGAGGAGCCGGAGGACGAGTAGGAGGAGGAGGGGGTGGGAGGGGGGAGGGGGAGGGGCAGAAGGAGCAGGAGGAGGAGTAGGAGGAGGAGGAGGAGGAGGAGGAGGAGGAGGAGAACGAAGAGGAGGAGGAAAATGAGGAAGACCAGTGTAAACACAAGACTCTTCAACGATGTTGGAGTAACCCCCCCTCTAAGCTCCCTCTTCATAGGACCCATACAACCCTCCCTCCCCTCACTAGGGCAAGTGCCTGGTTGGGGGACAACCGTTTGCGAATCTGTCGAATTGTTGCGCCCCGACAATCCTGAGCCGCTCCGAAACACAATTCCTGGTATGCTAACCTTGGGAATCCGTGTGCGCGGTTCCAAGGCGTGAGCCACAAGTTGAAAAGGAACCGCTTTCAATGCATGACATCCTTATATATTTGCACGAATGTGCGCGTCGCTAAGGCGAGAGCCACATGTTGCAAACGGTCCGCCCTCAATCCGTGAAGCTCTGGCTGATATTTATGGCGAGTGTGCGCGACGCTAAGGCGAAACCCACATTTTGAAAACGACCCTCCCTCAATCCGTGAAGCTCTGGCGATTTATAAGACGAATGTGTGCGGCGCGAAGGCGAGAACCACATGTTGAAAACTGCCCGCCCCCATCTGTGAAACAATTGCCAATTATTGACATTTAGGATTTTACATGGTGGGGAAATCTCAGGCGAAACGCCTGGCCCGCATTTATGACTTAACGAGGACGCCTACTACGAATCACCGCCACCCCCTGCCTTTTGGGATCGCCCATGTGGCCGAGCGTTGTGGCAAGAGCTCTGCCAAGCTATCGGGCCATGTGTTCCCCCTGCCCTTGTAGAAACTCTTCGGGGAACACTTGGGGGAGCGTGGCGGGGACGATCACACAGAGGAGGAGGAGGGGGGATCTTGGGAGCCTCTGGGGGCACTATTGGGGCCTCCTTGGAGCTTTCTGATGGCCTTTTGGAAGCATCTTGGGGGCCTCTTTGGGCCTCTTGGGGGCCTTTTGGGTTTCTCGGGGGCCTCTTTAGTCATCTTAGGGCATTTCTGGTCCGTCTGACGCCGTCGGACGCCGTCTTGGGGGCCTCTCTGGGCCGACTTGGGGCCCTCTTGGGGTGCTCCAGGGCCGTCTTGGAGGCCATGTTGGGCGTCTTCGAAGCCTCTTGGGCCGTCTTGGGGCCCTCTTGGGGCCGTCTTCGGTGCCTCTTGGCCCGTTCTGGGGCCATCTTGGAAAGGCCTCGTGGGCGATCTTTGGGCGACCTTTGGGGGCTCTTGGGCCGTCTCGGGTCGTCGACTTTGGCACCTTCAGGTCTTCCTGGAGGCCCTCTTGGGGGCCTCTTGGGGGCCGTGCTGGGCCATCTTGGAGCCATCTTGGGCCGTCCTGATGGCTTCCTGGCCCGTCGTACGCAGTCGGACGCCGTTTTGGGGGGCCTCTCTGGGCCGACTTGGGGCCCTCTTGGGGTGCTCCAGGGTTGTGTTGGACGCCATATTGGGCGTCTTGGAAGCCTCGTGGGCCGTCTTGGGGCTCTCCTGGGGCCGTCTTGGGGGCCCCTTGGGCCGTTCTGGGGCTTTCTTGGAGGCCGCTTGGGCGATCTGGGGGCGACCTTTGGGGGCTCTTCGGCCGCCTCGGGCTGTCGGAGGACCGAAGAGAAGCAACTGCCCAAATCCTTCAAGCACCTAAGGACAAGCAATGATTTTGGCCTCTTCGGGCCTTCCTGGAGGACCTTTTGGAGGCCTCTTGGGCCGTCTTGGGGACCTCTTGGGGGCCTCTTGGAGCCATCTTGGGCCATTTTGGAGCCATGTTGGGTTGTCTTGGTGTCCTCTTGGCCCGTCTGACGCCCTCGGAAGCCGTCTTGGAGGTCATCTAGGCCGCCTTGGAGACTTCTTGGAGGGCGTCTTGGGCGTCTTGGAGACCATCTTGGACGTCTTGGACGCCTCTTGGGCCGTCCGTCTTAGCGCACTCTTGCGGCCGTCTTGGGGGCCTCTTCGGCCGTCATAGGGCCTGCGTGGAGATCTCCTGGACGATCTTGGGGTAACTTTGGGGGCCTCTTGGGCCGTCTTGGGCCGTCAGACAAGAACGTTTTGGGAGGCACGACAGCCAAACGCCTTCAATCACCTAAGGCAACTCAATGCTTTTGACCTCTTCGGGCCTTCCTGGATAACCTCTTGGAGACCTCTTGGGCCGTCGTGGAGGTCTCTTGGGAGCCTCTTAGACCATCTTGGGCCATCTTGAGACTCTATGAGGCCGTCTTGGATGCATCTTGGGACCATTTTAGCCGTCTTGGAGACCATCGTGGCCGTCTTTGAAGCATCTTGGAGGCCGTCTTGGGCCAATTTGGCGATCTTGTCAGCCATCGTGAGCCGCCTTGGAAGATTTGTTCCGAAAAACGGAGCTCCTTGTGCGGCCTTCCAGGTGGCCCGTGGGACGGGCCGAAGCCCAGGGGAGAGTTTATTTGGAAAAAGTGCCAACACCATAACGTCTAGGGTCCAGCACGCCAGGCACCCCTGTGGCAAGACCACAAGGGGGCGGGTGATCGAAGACGCCTACGGCGAATCACCGCCGCCCCCAGCCTTCTGGAATCGCCAATGTGGCCGAGCGTTGTGGCAAGAGCTCTGCCAAGCTATCCGGCCATGTGTTCTCCCAGCCCTTGCATCGTGGAACACTTGGCGGAGGATGGCGGAGAAGATCAGGAGGAGGATGACCAGTGTAAACCCAAGAGTCATCAACGATGTTGGAATAAACCCTCCCTCCAAGCTCCCTCTTCATAGGCCCCTCCAACGGTTCATTTCCATTGAAGAATTGCCTCTTTGGAAGGCAAACGTTTGAAGAACCTGAATCGTGCCAAAACATTGCTCTCGGGATTCCAACGCCACGGATCAACCTGACTGATGCGTCTTGACAAACAAGAATCTTGCCAGAATGCCATTCTTGGGATTTCAACACAGCGAATCAATATAACTGTTGCACCTGCATAATCCTGAGTCATTTCCAAGCACCATTCCTGGCACGTTGATGATGGGAAAGCATGAAACTCTGTCATATGTTCAAAACGACTGACCGCCGCGCTAAGACGATAGCCACATTTTGAAACGGAACCGCCCTCAATCTGTGAAACTCCTGTAAAGTTTAAAACTAATGTGCGCCGCGCTAAGACGAGAGCCACATTTTGAAAAGGAGCCGCCCCCACTTCGTGAAGCTCTTGCATAAAAAAACGAATGTGCGCGGCGCGAAGGCGAGAGCCACATTTTGAAAACGATCCGCCTTCAATCTGCGAAGCTCTCGCAAGTTTTTAAAACGAATGTGCGCCGCGCTAAGGCGAGAGCCACATTTTTAAAGCGACCTGCCCTCTATCTGTGAAACTGTTGCCAGATTTTAAGCTTCAGAATCATAAGTGGTGAAGTCTCAGGCGAAACGCCCGGCCCGCCCTAAACACTGTCCTCGGGGTGCGACAGGGAGAAGTTAGTTCTATGGAAAAGGCGTTGAGGAGGAGGAGGAGGAGGAGGAGGAGGAGGAGGAGGCGGGGGCATCTTGGGAGCCTCTGGGGACACTCTCGGGGACCTCCTTGGACTTTGCTGGGAGCCTTTCGGAGGTATCTTGGGGGCCTCTTTGGGCCTCCTGGGGGCCGAGCTTCTCGGAGGCCTCTTTGGCCATCTTAGGGCATTTCTGGCCCGTCTGACGCCGTCGGACGCCGTCTTGGGGGCCTCTCTGGGCCGACTTGGGGCCCTCTTGGGGTGCTCCAGGGCCATCTTGGAGGCCATCTTGGGCGTCTTCGAGGCCTCTTGGGCCGTCTTGGGGCCCTCTTGGGGCCGTCTTCGGGGCCTCTTGGCCCGTTCTGGGGTCATCTTGGAAGGCCTCGTGGGCGATCTTGGCAAGCCAACAGGGGGCGGCGGATCTCAGACGCCTACGGCGAATCACCACCGCACCCTGCCTTTTAGGGTACGCCTATGCGGCCAAACGTTTGGGCTTGGCCCCAAGCTATTGGGCTATGCGTTTCCCAAGCCGTGGTGGAAACGCTTCGGGGAACACGTGGGGGAGGAGGCGGGTGATGAGGGAGAGGAAAACAAGGGAGGAGGAGGAGGAGGAGGAGAAGGAGGAGGAGGAGGGGGAGGAGGAGGAGGAGGAGGAAACCGCTTGGGAGCCTCCTGGGCCACTTTTGGAGCCTCCTGGGAGCGTCCTGGGGGCCTCTGGGAGGCTTCTTGGGGGTCTCCCTGGGCCTTTTGGGGGTATTTGGAGGCTTCTTGCGAGCCTCTTTGGCTGTCTCAGGGCGTTTCTGGCCCGTCTGACGCCATCGGAAGACTTTTTGGAAGCTTTTTTGGACCGACTTGGGGCCTCTTGGGGCGCTTCGGGGCCGTCTTGGAGGCCAGCCTGGAGGTCTCTTGGGCGGTCTTTGGGGTCTCCTGGGGCCGTCTTGGGGGCCTCTTGGGCAGTCTTAGCGCCCTCTGTGGACCGTCTTGAGGACCTCTGGGGCCGTCCTTGGGCCGTCTTGGAGCCCGTAAGGGCCATCTTGAGACGATCTTGAGCTTCTTGG